ATCAGTAAGATGATAGAAGCTTCTAGAGTTTTTCAACTGGGATCAGATCTTTTTTTTTGTCTGCATGAATGGAATAGAGCTACCTTCTCCTCAAATTTGTTTGATTCCTGGTGGCAAGAATGGCACTCTCACCTCTTCTGCAGTCCAATTCATCCCAACTGTTTAGTTCTAGATGAAGAATTTGCTTCTGATAGTGAGGTAATTTACTACTTTTTCTTTCAGAAGGATTATCCAATAAATTCTCTTATCAATTCATCTAACGAATTTCTTTGCAGGATACCAAATTTGATCCGCCAAGCGTGGACAGGAAAGGGAATCCCATAGAATATTATCCACCATGTCCATCCTCAAGAATAGGATCAACTACACCCACTTTGAAAAAGTTGATGAAAACCCCAGCTGCCCCAACAATACTCACATATCAGTCTTCAAAACGCAAGACAACCCAAGGTGTAATTCAGAAAACCACCACTAGAAAGAGACTTCGCAGAACAAAATCATTAATTTCTCAGGTAACTTAACTTATCTTCCCTCTTAAGATGATATCCAACTTCTAATTCAATTCCTTTCTTGCAGCCATCGACTATTGCATCTCAATCTACCTTGGGTGTCGAATTGTTGTCCCAATTATTTGAATAGGTGTCTACCAACCTCTCATTGGCTAATCCTCCTAACGAGCCAATTATAACTGAAATAACCGATTCTTCCAAAACAACAGAAGATAAGAACCTCTCTACTTCACCTCCTGATTCTACCAAGCTATCTCCTCAACTCTTTTAATCTTATATAATCATCACTCTTCTCTGATCATTCTCCTTTATCAGACACCACCTAGAAAATATCTGCACAAGAGCAAAGGTCTAACATCCCAATAGTTGAAGATGATCCTGTTGATGCTGATACCCAAACCATTGATCCTTTAACTCAGCAAACAGTCGATGGTAAGAAATTCATATGCTCATTCTTGTTCTTTTATAACAAATATAAATCTGAAAAGCTTCTTGATGTCTACAGACACTAGCATCGAAAGTCCAGAGCCGATTGAACCAAATGTTGAAAAAGATATTGGCACATCATCGACTGTTCCTTCTCCTCAGGCAGAGCTTCTTCCAGAAAAGGTACTATGTCCTCCTCACCATTCATCTCATTATCAACTTATTTGTCATTTCTAATAAGATTCCTTTTGTTCATATGTAGGCACTTAATTCTCCAGCTCTGAGTTACTCCTTCAACTTTGTAGAATACATAGATGAAAGTGAGATTAGCTCACTAGCCATCTCTTCTCAAGAAATCTTATCAGACGAGACAAAAAATCAGCTAAAAGACATGTTGCCAATGCTTAAGAGGAACATATCCGATTTGGTCCAGGATGTAGATCTAATGAGAAGAATCTTCTTAACCATTAAAAAGGATCTGCTCCCAAATCTTACTGAAGCCTTGATACCTTTGTCCAACATCGAAGATCAAGCTCCCAAGGTGAAAAAGGCTCAAACAAACCTAACGGACCGTGAAGCTTTGATGGCTAAGAAGAACTCTAACAAGCAGGAAGCTAAAGAATTGGCACAACTGATCGATAATCTAAAGAATTCTTCTTCCAAAATTAAACCAGAACTAAATCAGCTGAGAGTTAGGCGTGCTGAACTTGAAAAAGAACTAGAAAGTGTGAAGGCCACCATCGAACGTCTTGAATCCAACTTGACTCAGATCCCCAATGCTATCAAACAGAAGAAGCAAGAAATGTTGACCAAGGTCAAAGAAGGCAAAACTATTCACAACAATCTTGAGAATATTCCTGGATCAGCCGAAGAAGATAAACAACATATTGCAGAAGTTGATGCTATTCACTGAAAGCACTACGAGCAATCCATGATGTTCTTAACTTGTAATTTACATTCCAGTATCTGTAGCACATAAACCTGATGATAGCTGCATTTTAGTTCGGCTAGAAGAGCTGATTTGAATCAGCCAATTTTTGATTTCTGAATTTACTCTGACTTAACTGAATCTAAAAACGGCTTTCATCACAAAACCCTTCGAATTCCTTCTTAGTCATCAACGCCACGTTCCCCTCAGTATTAGCAAAGCGGTGCTTCCTCTTCTATTAATTGGGGTTACTTTCACACGTCCCAAGATATCCACCGTCTCGTCTCCGTGGCTATAAATACCAGCCAATGGCTTCGGTCTTAAACACATCTACATTTGCAACTGCTCTCATTCTCCTGCATCCTTCCACCTTCACAGACCCTATAGCAATTTCCTCTTCTTCTCCCCTAAAGATCTAAACCAGCACCCATGGCCGACGAAGATAACCGCGGCAAGCATGCAGCGGAAGATCTCCTGGAGGAGGAGATGCCGGTGAGCCAGCGGCTCTGCCGCATGAGGTAGGACCAAACGACTCCTGCTTCTGTCAACAGATCACCTTCTAACGTGTCTGTAGGTTTGTCTTGAACAACAGGCTTTCTCCTCCTCCTCCTCCTAGGGCCGGCGAGCCCTCTAATGCTGAGTTTGTTGCCGTCCCTGACGCCAGATTTGTCGTCGGACTCCTCCGACTCCTACACCGGCGACGACGCCCGGCGCTTCCTCCAAGAATGGAAAGTGGCCAAGGACCGTTACTCCGAGGCAACTCGGGAGAACGGTCAACTTGAGATCCGCCTCGAGGCCTCTCAAGTTGCCCTCCTCGCCGTCGAGGAAGAAACCAACGCCGCCCAGGCGCGGCTGGCTGAATCCGACGCCATGGTGGCGGGTAAGATGGATTCCAAGAAAACCCCTGTTCTTATTTTCTCTACCTTTGTCTTGACAGTTTCTTTTGTTTCTGTGATTGCCAGCTCTGACAGTGCAGTTGGAGAACTGGCGGCGAACACGGCTACGGCGGCCGTCAATGCCCGCGGCCCCTTACTCATCAATCGCCTGCACGACATCCTGGTGCGTGTCCAGGAGATTACCCTCCACAGCGTCCGTCGTGGCGCAGCAGTGGCCCTGGCCGCGGCGCAGGTCCAGACCGGGCACGAGCTCCGCACCATGGAGCTGGGCTTCCCGATGGCCGATGACCCCAACATGCACGAGGACTTGATCGAGGACTTCGACGATGCAGCTGCGACCATCGTGGACATTACATCCACCTAGGATGTAATCAATAAAGTTTTTGATTAGTTTGTACTAGGAACAAACTATCAATGAATAAAATTTCTGCTTCTCTTTATGAATGCGTTTCAGAATATGCTGAAATATAAATCTAATTGTCTTTGTATGTGTTTTTGCTCTATAGGCGATACATATCGTATCGGTTTTTCCCCGTAGGTATAATTTTTGAACTAAAGGCGATACCCTCCGGGTACCGGCTATTAGAGCCGACGACTAAACAAATCGACTATCAAGTATTAATCCAGACGCTAGGATAATACTTCTTTAGGAATTTTTCATTGATTGCTCTATCAAATTCCTCTTCTCCTTATAGCGTTTTCAAAATATAAGCATTGTCAGGCGCACACTGTTTAATCTGATAAAGACCTTCCCAATTAGATGACCATTTACCAAACCTGCTGTCTTTAGACCCAATCGGCAATCTTACTTTCCAAACTAACTCTCCTTCGCAAAACTGTTTGTTCTTAACCTTTTTATTATAATGCCTTACAACCCTTTTTTGTACACGAATCGATCATCCTCAACAGTTGAGTAGGACAAAACATCAATCACTACTCTACATGCATTGGTCGGATCAATCCTAAAAATAGTAGCAGTGCAAACAAATTAGCACTGCTTCCAAAAGTCATTTCTCATCACTGACCATCCTCATACCAGATCACACACACAAATGAACCGGATATCACAAACAATTGCATGCCGCAACTAATTTTCAGTTGTGCTACGAGATGAAGCAGATAGCTAAGGTTTCGTTCTTACCCATTGGGAATCTCAGATTCATGCATTGCGTAGTCGAGTGTGGAGGGACATCTGGCGGTCGACGGAGGTGGTGAGCAGGGATGCCGGCGGCCCGGCGGAGGCGCCGCGCCGCGCCGCGCAGGGGCGCCTAGCGGCCTGGCTGAGGCGCCACGCACGCAGCGCGGTGGCCGGCAGAGGCAATGCCCTGACCCGTGTGCTGGAACCCACGGTGGCGGTTTTAGCTTAGGTTAACGTTTATGTATGCAAAATTTGACGGAATGGTACTTCCAGTTCACGGTGGATCCTTTCGGTGCTATTTCACGATGGCGTAAACTTTCATTGGTATTTTACAGAGATAGCGATCTTTCGATGCTACACAACCAATTTTCCCTAAACCAAACATTGGACACCTAACCTCACGTGGTAAACTTTGCACCTCTTCACAACAATATACACTACTAATAATTGTGTCTAGGGGCTAGGGCCGCTACAATTTGTTAAAGCAGAATTCCAGGCTTGGTACACGATTTGTGCTATTTTTTACCATTGAGTTTAGGGCTTGTTTAGTTCCTCAAAAGTGTTGCAGTAGCCATTACATCAAATTTTGCGATACGTGCATGGAACATTAAATGTAGACGGAAAAAAACTAATTGCATAGTTTGGTTGGAAATTACGAGACGAACGTTTTGAGCCTAATTAGTCCATGATTGAACACTAATTAACAAATAAAAACGAAAATACCACAGTAGCCGAATTCTAAAAAATCCGCGAACTAAACACAGCCTTAGTCATGAGAAGTTGGCAGTAGAGCAGTGGCAGTCATCGATGCCCAAAAAACTTTGGGTCCCATCCCATGTCAGATAAACCAGCATCGCTCTTCTAAACTGCAGTGTTCAGGCTTCGTTGCACGATGCTCAATGCCTGACGCACGTGATTTTTCTGTAAAGAGCAAAGATGATAAGGTGGGATGGTTTTTGCAACTTTCCCAGAGGAAGAGCATGGATATTTCCTCCCTTTTTAGCTGATCAATCATCATGAGGCAAAATTGTATCAACAAAAAAAAAAAAAAAAGAAAACGACGCTCTCAATTTCTACCACGCCTTGTATCATCAGGAGTTTAGCTAGCACTCGCCACAGCTGGGGACGAATGACAGGTTCTTTCTGAGATGATGTGTTAGTTGGGTAAGATTGATGCTATATATGTTCCTACAAAAGAAACCACCAGAGCATCTCCCAAGCCTCAACATTCCAACCACAATGGAGGATCCTAAAGTCCTCGGTGCTCCAAAGTCCAAACAGAGGAGGATCCCTGACCCGATTTCCTGCACATTCCATGCAGGACATGCAGCATTAATTAAAATAATAATCAGAAAGTGGTCACAGAACTTGGAGATATTAAAGCCCACTGAATGCCACTTAGATGAAAACTTTCTACTTAAACGCATAAAGCTTCCCTTTTACTAACAAATACTATATGTCTATATATATGCCAATGGAGCTCTTAAGCAGATTTTCATGACCTTCCTGTTCATGGTTCATGTGTAAAATGCTAAAGTTTCAGTCACTCCACTATCTGAAGAAGCAATGGCTAATGTATGAACTTGCAAGACAGAGATGATTTATCCATCATCTCAACATGGCATGTATAGGAAAAAATCTCAAGAGAAAGAAAGAAACCTGAAATGGCAAACCCTGTTTGCTTGTACATAAACTCTCTTTCATTCTCACTTAATTTGCGTTAAAAAAAAATGGCAAACCCTGGACCCTAAGTCCAATTGCTATGATGTCCGTCTGCCGTAAGTCACTTGGTCATCCAACATTTATACAATGCGTGGTCAGTATATATGCCAATCACTAAAGTTTAATGACTTGCCTCAGTCAGCTCTAAAACATAATGAAGAAACTGCAAAGTTCATCCACCTGATACATGCCATTAGGAAACACCCACTGAACTCTAGAGTGCTCTGCTGCTGATGTAGATTGGCCAAACTGCCCAATTTGGAGAAACTATTTTATGTCTTTTCCTTTGTTGCACATATTTATTCAAGAAAAAACGCAAATGGAAATGCAAGTGCAGCATTGCAAAGAACAAACCTGCAAAGTGTTTCCTGCATTTAGCTGGTTACCAAAATGGTGCGAGTGGCCAGATTGCAGCACCCCATAACGGCTATCAAATGACAGCTCACTTGGATGGACTTCTTCCTGTAAGATGCACAATTAAAAGTAAATATACTATCAAGGATCTCATTTTATGATAAGGACTGGCAACCAATTATGAAGAAAAATGATTACCACGAGATCAACAATGCCATGTGTCCGGACATGAGTACCAAGGTTTGAGGTAGTTGAAGCAGAATGAAAAGCCTTACCCTTCTGAGTTACATCTGAGGATACTTGCCACACGACAAAATAAAAACTCGGTTAGCACAAACAACGAAATGATGCAAAGCGTGCACACAATACAAGGAAACACTTTATTCCCATACTGGTTTACCATTGAATCCACATTTATCTCTTTATTCTTTTTAGGAGGACTGCCTCGCCGCTTTTTGGCTGGACCACCCTCAGATGAACCAGGTTGTGTATGGTTGTCACCATTCACAGTTGCACGCTCAGCTGGTGTAAGTTTCTGCTCCAAATCACGGCACAGATTATCATCAAGAAGGGTTTCTTTCATGTCTTTAAGAAGCCTTACTGCATGCCTATACTTCTCGTCTGATGTCATCCCAATCTCAACGAGACGAAGAAACTGCAAAGAAATGTAATCATAATGCTCGACGTGATTACTTGTTGCTAAATCCTTTGGTGGATTATCTGGGTAGTGCAACTGCTTGAAGTCAGCCTTAAGTACATAACAAGGGGGGATGTCGTATACTTGCTGCCATTTAAGCACAGATAATGCATGCCGACAAACAATACCACTAAACAGAAATAGGCCACAGTTACACTCCATCTTGTTTGTTGCCATACAGTGAACAACCTCGTACTTTTTATTCAGCATTTCACTCCCTGCTTCAGTCAAATCAATAACTATAAAAGAAGATGCTGACCCATCCAGCTGACCTTGACAATGCATGGTTGCCTTTAGCTCACCCTGGAACTTCATAAACATATTCAAGGTGTACAATCTCCAATAGCTGTTCTTCCATTTGGTACTTTGATATCAGGACCATGCTTCTATTTAATGAATCAAAATCATCTTATTGCTCCATTTTGTATCTGTTACCCAAAAGTGTCATGTAGCTGGCAAGGAACGACACCAATGTGGTCTCTGAACTGACTGCATCCTCAAAAATTGTACTTGACTTTCACGCTGGCTAACAGTACAGAGCCCAGCCCAGAAGGTGTCCTTAAGGAAGGCAGGGGCCCACAAGTGCCGATTCTCATACAGAAAGGTGACCCATTCATTATCCTGAAAGGCCAAATCTATCAATCCAGTTCTTCCACCTTGCCTCAAACTCATTGTCGTTCAAAGAATCATATATTACAGTGACCAAATCGGTTCTCATCGCTTCATATTCTGGCAAGTCGACTATATTTTCTGAAATACTTCTCACTACATGCCAATCACTTATTCTATGGCGTGTCTTTGGAAACACTTATCGAACTGCGGCTTTTATCGCCACACATTCATCGGTAACTATGGCATTTGGAGGCCGTCCCTTCATACAAGTTAACCATGACTTGAACAGCCACAAGCAGCTCTCTGTACTCTCATCTGACAGCAATCCACAGCCTAACAACACAAGTTGATCATGATGATTGACACCCAGAAATGAAGAGTGGGACATGATACTTGTTCCTCAAGCATGCCGTATCAATCCAAACAGCATCGCTGAAATACTGATACGCTGCTGGATCTGCAATCAGCCCAGAGAACACTCCTCAGATGGCCCTCCACATAAAAGTCCATGACATAGAAGGAGTTTGGCAGCTTTGCCTGCATCAACATGTGAATTATATGAAGTGAGAACCTGAATTATATGAGAGGCGTTTCAGAGAACCCTGTCTGTTTATCAAACATCAACATGTGAATATTGTCGTCTCAGTTCAGAAAAAAAGGAGAAAATTGCTAAAATAGGACTCCCAAACATGTGTTTTTGCTAAAATAGGACTCCTAACGTTGGCTTTGCTAAAATAGGACTCGAAACGTTGTGACTTTGTTATAATGACATTTTGACAACTTTTAATCATATTCCAAAACTCAAATACATGTATTTTCTCATATTGACTGTATTGCCCTTCTGATATTCTAATCTATATTGCCCCCTTCCGTATGAGATCTTTTAATCTGATATGCTCGGTAATATAGTTCTCGTGCCAAAGAGCAGGCTTCGGCTGTATGCTCGGAAAATACAGGCTTCGGTACTATATTACGGAAGGACTCGTGCCAAAGATCATGATCTCGAGCAGGCTTCGGTTGCCTCCTTCCGTACCGCGCACGAGTCCTGGCCGACGAGATCTCCTGGCCGACGCCATCCCGTCGTTCCTCCTTCCCTGCCGACGCCGCTGGCCATGGACTTGGAGGCAACCGAAGCTCTGGCCGCGCGTGGAGCCCTGGCCGCGCGTGGTGCCCTAGCCGCGGCGTCGCCTGGTGCCCTAGCCACGGCGTCGCCCGGTGCTCTGGCCTCAGCGTTCCTCCTTCCCGCTGCCCCTCCTTTCCTGCCGCCGCCGCCGGCCATGGACTTGGATGCAACCGAAGCCCTGGCCGCGCGTGGTGCCCAAGCCGAGGCCGCGCCTGGTGCCCTAGCCGCGGCGTCGCCCGATGCTCTGGCCTCGGCGTCGCCCGGTGCCCTGGCCGCGGCGCCTGATGGCCTGCCCGACCAAGCTGGTGCATTGGCCGCGGCACCTGATGGCCAAGCTTCCAAGGCTGGGGCAACCGATAGCCTACAGCCAGCAGTGGAGGCCTCCATCGATGCTCTAGCCCTAGCAAGGTCACTTCTGCCTACTGCTCCTCATCCGGCAAGAGAGTGCAACATTCCTGTTCTTCAAGTGCAAAGGTATATATTGCATCCACTAGATCTTTTATTTTTTTTTCAGTACAAGTACAGTACAGAAATAAAACTAGGTTTGGCTTGTTTATAGGTCCGAAGTGAATGATGTAGAAACTATAGGAAAAGTTGATTGGGCAACATTACAAATTGTGGAAACACAGGATGATGAAGGTCGAATTGAAGTTATGAGCGAGACCCGGATGTGTGAGTTTTTAGGCTTGACAGAAGAGGGCACAACAAATGAGTCAACAAATGTACCTACACAAGGCTTTGGTTGCCGAATGGATGAACAAGTGAATGATAGTGCGCTTGGGCAAGATATTGATGGTGCTGCCATCCCTACTAGTGATGCCGTACCCGGTGAGATGGTCATTACGTATGATAAGAAGAACCCATCAATGGAGGTAGGGACAATGTACCCAACAATGGAGGAGTTCAAGCTGGCAGTTCGGCAATTTGCCATCAACAAGGAGTTCCATTTACGAGTAGAGAAGTCAACTAAGACGGTATATAGGGCTTATTGCAATTCCGGTGATGAAGATCGCCCTTGCATTTGGAGGATAAATGGCAGAAAACTGCAAGGCAGCGCTACAACGGAGGTATACAGGGCTTATTTCATTAATTCTACATTGCCTGTGTTTAATTGCCCGGATGAAAGTGTTTTACTGCCATATTTCATGTGTCTGTACTACAACGGAGGTATACAGCCCATATATGCTTGCATGCCTACTTATATATATATATATATATATATATATATATATATATATATATATATATATATATATATATATATATATATATATATGCCTCTGTGTCTACTTTGCTAGCTGCTGTGAACGTGCATTATTTCATGTGTGTCTATATATGACTGAGAAGTCCTTGATTTTTTTTTCTGTGCTATATATGATGCAACAGTACATATGTGTGTCTATATATGATGCAACAGTACACAATATATCTCATTGATTTATTTTTTCTTGCAGGTTACCGTCTTAGTCAATGACCATACATGTGTGTCTAGCATGAGGATGGCAACTACAACTCCAAATTGCGAGTGGGTAGCTCTATGGGCTGCGAGTATACTTAGAGCTGAACCAAATATTGGTGCTAGGGAATTGCAAAAGAGGTTGGAGACAGATCACAAGTGTGAAATTGCATATGACACTGTGTGGCGGGGTAAAGCAAAAGCTCTTGATGAGGTTTATGGCAAATGGTCAGAGAGTTTTCGGCTGCTATATAGGTGGAAGGCCGAGGTCGAGAAGCGGAGCCCCGGGAGTGTAGTTGAGATTGATGTTCTTGAGGTGGATGGTGAGGTATATTTCCACCGTTTTTTCTGTGCTCTTAAACCATGTATTGATGGTTTCTTGGAAGGTTGTAGGCCTCATTTGAGCATAGATGCTACAGCCCTTAATGGAAGGTGGAATGGTCACTTGGCCGCAGCTGTAGCAGTTGATGGTCACAATTGGATGTATCCAGTCGCTTATGGCTTCATTGCTTCTGAGACAACAGTCAACTGGACTTGGTTCATGGAACAGTTGAAGAAGGCTATAGGTGATCCTCCACTACTTGCTATATGTTCTGATGCTTGCAAAGGCTTAGAGAATGCAGTGAAGAATGTATTCCCAAATGCAGAGCAAAGGGAATGCTTTTATCATCTAGCCAGAAACTTCAAAAAGAGATTTAGAGGGTTTATCCAGATATATCCTGCTGCAAGAGCTTACAGAGAGGAGATTTTCTATGACAATTTAGCAAAATGCTAAGTGAATCATCGGAAGCGATTACAATGGTTACAGGCCAATCACAAGCTTCTATGGTATAGGTGTGGTTTCAATCCGGACATTAAGTGTGACTACATAACTAGTAACATTCTTTGAGTCATTTAATAACCGGATTAGATCTCATAAGGACCTACATTCTTGACCTTCTTGATAAGATCGGAGAAATGATCATGGTATCTTGTGGCACAAGAGAAGAATTATTGCATCAAAGCTACTACGAGGCGAGGATTCTCCCAGCTATTATGGTTCAAATAAGAGCAAATACTAGAGGTTTGGGACACTTGAAAATTGTGAAATGTTCTAATTGGAGTGCTTGGAGGTGTGGGACCATAGCAACAAGGCGTTTCTGTGAGACACATTGTCAAGTTAGAGCAAAGGACTTGTACTTGTCAAGAATGGCGACACTTTGGTAAGCCATGTCGGCATGTATTGGCCTATGTAACCCGCCAAAGGGAATTGACCTAGAACAGTTCAGTGCATGACTACTACTCGGTGAATAGGTTTAGGGCGGCTTATGGAAGAGAGATTGAACCGATGATGAGATAAAACACAATGGCGAGAAGTCGACCTACCTTTTTTTTAGTTGGTGCACCTCTAGCTAAATTACCTCCTGGAAGATTGAGGAAACTAAGAATCAAGGGATGGATGGAAGGTGGACACAAGAAGAAAGGTTCCAAAGATGGAAAATTTACCAATGAGATGGAGGGTGAGAAGGGATGTGACAATGATAATCTTGCTCCAACAAATGCAAAGGGAAAGAAGATGATCGGAGGACCTATGACTTGCAAAAGATGCGGAGAAAAAAGGTCATAGGCAAGCTAGTTCCAAGTGCCCGCTCAATGGAATTGTAAAAAGAGGTAAATAGTCAATTACATTCCACAACTTTGTTTAGTCTGTGCATATATGCATGCATGCGAACTCGAACTTTACTTTGCTTGCATTATTGCCTCTGTAGCATGTGTGAGAAGTCGTTGATTTTTTTTTTCTGATTAACTTGGATTGCTCAAGTTTGTGATTGTTATCTTCGATTGTCTAGAAAGCGAGGCAACCAAGGAAAAATGTTACAATACAGACCAGTGAACCTAGCACTCCACGGAGGCCGACTAGAGAAGAAATTCTACGTGATAGTCCGGAAGGGTCACAAGAAGGTAAAAATTATAAATATAGAAATTGACACATTTACCGTACACTAATTTTTCCAAACATCTAATTGTCGTATTGAATTTATATGCAGCATGCTTGCGGCGTTATTAGGGAGGCACATCTTCACAAGTTGACACCAATAGTCCCGTGAGGATGCCTACATTGCGGCACCCAAGAAGATGACACCAAGAGGAAACTACACATTGGATGAATTACTTTAGTTGTGTGATGAGATGTAAACTGCTCATGATTTATTTCATGACTTGGATCTTGTTTTAAACTAAATTATAGTCTTATCACGATGAACTTATAACTTTGCTAGAATCATGGTTTTATGATATGAACTTGTTTGTCCTAAATTCATGTGTTTTATATATTGCTTGGATCATCATTTTCCTATTTCAATCTTGTATATATATGCATATATGCATGCATGCAATCTGTCTGATGGCAGCGGCCAGCCATGCCAGGCGAGGCGCAGCAGCCAGCCCGAGCCATGGCCACCAAGCCATGGCCAGGGCTGCCACCATCCAGCCAGAGCGTGACCCGTGACCCACCTATACACGTGTTTAAAGGCCTAAGGGCAAAATAGTCAGCTCAAGGCAAAATACATGTATTTGAGATGACAAATGTGATTAAAAGTGTCAAAATGTCATTATAACAAAGTCACAACGTTTCGAGTCCTATTTGAGCAAAGCCAACGTTAGGAGTCCTATTTTAGCAAAGGCACATGTTTGTGAGTCCTATTTTAGCAATTTTCTCGAAAAAAAGAGTAATTCTTCTAAAGTTTAGTTTTGGTGATGTTGCTGCAACTCAAAAAGGGTATACATGCAAGCACATGGAAGAGCAGGAACTAATGCTGAAAACTTTGAAGATGACTATAGTATTTGTGCAAGATAATGGCTCATGGTCTATATATTTGGATATTAAGATATTATAGTCTGTGATAATTGTCGCAATACCACGGCCAAAAGATACACAGACATTTGATAGATGCTTAATGCTTGCTACATATATGGCCCTTACCAAGCATCAACATCCTAGTTAGAAGAAACCCTCCATTCCTACTAGCAGTGAGGAGTTAGCACATTCGCTATCTACTAGCACCACATCAGTGTTCCATGTGGACTCAAAAGAGATAAAGGCTACAACGGCTACATATATGTAACATTGCCAGCATCAATAGCCTGCCGGCTCCTTCATCATCAGGTTCCTCCACTTGACCCTCAAATCACATGGCAGGCGCGTCTTGTGAAACACATGATGACCATATTCTAGTATCTGAATCCATGGATTTGGTGCATCATTCTGTGGAGCGAATTTTGCCATCGCTTCCTGGATCATCATAAATACACATGGCCAAGCGAGACACAATTACATACTACAAACTTGAAGGGCGGGCCTGGTGCAAGCGGTAGAGTCTTACTGCCTGTGACCTGAAGGTCCTGGGTTCGAGTCGCGGTCTCCTCGCATTGCACAGGCGAGGGTAAGGCTTGCCACTAACACCCTTCCCCAGACCCCGCACAGAGCGGGAGCTCTCTGCACTGGGTACGCCCTTTTTTTAAAACTTGGCCTGGGAAAAGCCAGCGCCAAAGATGGTGTTTCAACAATGAAAATGTACATCCAAAGAATGATTACCCTCAAAACAGCTTCTTCTTCTTTTGTCCAAGCAAGTCTTTTGCGTCTTCTAGTTGGTGCAACAGGATTGGAGCTGCAAGACATGTGCTCAGTTCTTGGAAACGTTTTCAGAAATAAAATTTCCTATAATAGATGGAAAATGTGAATATTTGAAGAAGTCAAGACCTGTACTACTCTAAAAGAAAGTTGGCTCAACTTTTATGCTCTGGTCTCCTTTTTTATATGTGCAGAAAACATTTTATCACGGCACATAACACAGGGTAATACCATCGGTGCGCGTTCAACATTGCATAATCATAACAAAATACCAATGCTAAGTACCTATGTTGGCATATTGCAATTAAGTCTGATCTAATTTGATATATCATAGAACTAACCATGTGTATGTGAAAATCTCTCATCTGAATTTGAAAAACAATGCATGGCAAAAGGCCTAAGACCTTAAAATGAGATCAGCTTTGCATAAAATCATTGTCATGAGTCATGGCATATTTAATGTTCTCTCTGTTTTCTCAGAAGGCCTAAGACCTTAAAAATTCAAATAGTGTCAAAACTGATCGCTGCCATCTTATCCATGATACTGAGCCAACAGAATAATGTAAACTATTTGAACAAGAACAAAAGACACGCCGAGTGGGTGATGATCGCTTGCCAGAGTCATACCAATCTTCCCACTTCCCATATATGATATCAAGTGCTCTCATCTTTCCTCTAAAAACTCTATGATATGGAACATCCACTGAGTACTTTTTTAACTCATCTTGCAATCCCTTTGGATCCATTTGAGGGTCATCCCGCAATAAGTCCACAGCTCTATCACAAACCCATCTGTTTGCTTTCACGGACTCACCACACTTATTGAAAGAACCACACGTGTGCTTTGGTCCACTTGTCTTGACCTACGACACAATCATGACAATCCGACATCTTGTTAGCAAATTACATCTCAAGTCAATACACTACATTATGGAAAGAGGACCAAATTACCCTACATCCAACGTACTTCTTGCTTGTATCCGAACACCCCATACGACATCCTATATAACGTCCGATGTGTCGTTCCAAAAACTTTAGAGGCTAAACAAGGCTTGAGTCATGCTGCGGCGGCTACTGCTGGTCAGGCAGGACACATGAACACTGTACACAGGCCCTCAGTTTATGGCAACTGTTCTTTACGAACAACCCGTGGAAAATATTCCTAGCATCGACAAAAACCGTTTTTTTTTACTAGTGGATGGAGCCATCGTCGCAAGGTAAGGTTTTGGCCAAACAACTCACCGCCATTGACATTGACCAAGGTGGGAGCAATTTGACGAGCAAGATCATAGCGAGAGCAGAGAGCACGTTGCTTCATTACAATTCTGTTGCCGCAATTTCGATTCTGTGCAATTCCATACTCCAATCAACATATTTCCGAGACTGACAAAGTGGCAAGTGAATCGCATTGCCAAATTTAAAGCTTTACAAATGTCATGGTACACTTACAAGGTTGTCAAATTGGTCTAATTTGTAATGGAAGAGCTACAATTGACTTCAATTAATATGCTGTGCTGCCCTCCTAGTTATTGTCAAACAGGTACCCAAAGAAAGATTTGTTGCTTTACGCGCAACTGTTTCATGTAAGTTATCCACGTAATAATTCCTGATAGGCGCTATCCAAAACGTACTTGAGATTGAGGTAACATAGTCTGAACAGAGCTCTGCACTGCAATGCGTCCAAGAGATTACTTCTGCAGTAACTCAACTAGGTCATACATGCTGTTCGTGTAGAGATCTGGATGGATGTTATTAGAAGCATCCTGCAGTTCTGGTAAGGTAGTACAACCTGCAATTGCAATCCCACGCATGTGAGACATCATCGAACACGTGAAAGCAGTTTGGGATAATTACTGAATAAGAGCAGGAGCTTCTGACCAGACAAAACAAGGAGGGTCTTGCAACCAGTGTTCTGGCCAAATAATATGTCTGTGTCCAGTCTATCACCAACCATGCACATCCTTGACGTTTCCAGATTGAAGCTGCAGCAGTTGAACAGCAAGGAAACCTTTTCTGATACTGTGGCATTGAAAATCAACAAAGAATGCAATCCACTGTCCTATCATCTTATGCTTGTGCACATTTTTTTCATTATAACATCTTGCTGCCTTTGAACAGGAAAACATTTATAGAAAGATGGATATGTATAAGGGAACTTTACAAGCCCACTACATAATATTCCTTGTTCATTTTGTCTCCATTTCTATGTGTACTTGTAAAGTTAGTTATAATGAATAAATTTTAGAAGCCAATAAGATAAGACTTCGCACCAGAACAAAACCGAAAAAATGGATGTAATGTGCTAGACTATTTAACATAGGAAAACTCTTTTCAGTTTTTTTGCCTATTTATTCACAGTCCGGAGACTTATGAATACCCTCTCAGAGAATAAAAATATGCACTTTTGATGGAAAATAAATGATTTATTTCTCATAGTACAATTTGCAAACCTTTTCAAGAGGAAGTCCATCAAAAAGCCTGAAGGTTTTCCAACAACAATGGGTTCTTTCTGTACTGAGCTGCTTACTGCAGCAACCATAGTTCCAGCTCCTGTTGAGGTAAGCAAATGCAAATTATACTGTGCAACAGATTGAAACTACAAAATTTTCAATAAATTTCCCGATAACAACACCTGGCCATTCTTGGGCAGATGTCATATGCCCAGTTGGATCACGGTTGGTCGCAATGAAAAGGCAGCCTGGATTCTCACTAATACATATTCTTGCATACCTGCAAGAACATCACTATGACTTGGTCATTGTGAAATTAATGATCTGACTATAGGACAAGCTAATTAGTTCATCTTTCATTTTATTAAAAAAAAAACAGAGGAAGTACTTTTGATGTGGTAACATGGTCCTTGCCAACAAAAGTTTAAACGTGAACTGTGATATGTCTTTATAAAAGATAAAATAAGGTGGACAAAAGATTTCAGCTTTATAATTGCTTGGCTGAATTATTTCAAATTAGAAGCTTCTGAATTTTAGATCTGAATTAAATATGGGGTATTCTTTCAACAAACTTTTTAAGCAACGGTGAACAACATAAAGGTACCAACGCTGAGCAAGCAATGAAACTTTTTTTTTGAGGGGAGCAAGCAATGAAACTTATTCCACTGGCTTAAAGGAGACATGAGTTACAAAAGGAAATGAAAAAAGGAATGCACAACAAGCATGTCTGAGAGGGCTCAGTCTTTATCATATGTAATATATGATGTTCTAAATAATGTGATAAAGGAAGCTCAAACTTTCAATTGCCTAGGCAAGGGTGGAGCATCCAAAATACCGAAAAAAATGGTGAAAAGAAAGATCAATCTAATGGACCTTAATGTAGTTTTATCTCCAATTTTCCAGAAATGAGATGAAACTTAAACTTATATCCTATCAAAGGAGCGTCAGGTTAAATTTAGAATATCACACCAGAAGATATAGCAAGACTTGCATTGAAACGGAAAGAATGCACATATGACAAAAGTTAAGTAATGATTGATCAGCATGGAGAGCAACGTCTAAGGCTATAGACAGCAAGGTTAGAGCAGTAACTGCATTTTGTAATAATTGAAGTACTGATCAAGTCCAACAATGACAGCTCCAACCTGGAAAAGAAATTTTATTTAGATCACAGCTCGGTAGCTTTTGTATTTTATGTGAAAGATGATACAAAAATCAGAAAAAACAGATTTGACATTACACATTTGTCATGTTCAAAGTAGAAATCCGCCTCCAACTTTATGTTTTTCTTGCCATCCTCCTGCAGGAAAATCATTGGTTGAAATGGAAGGTAAAACAGGGATAACTTATCTGAAAAATATTTATGTTTTCAAGCCCTCATCAAGCATAAAAAAATATCTTTTGACTGTTCGTATGTTGTGGCTCACTCAGGACACTTATTGCATGTTTGTCCAAACGTAGATATAATAATGTCCTTCATATTTCTGGCCTATTTTATTTCAAATAGCACGACAGACATCCAAAATGGCTACTAAATTGAAGTAACATGTAATGCCTTGAAGTAGGCACTACCAATCATCCAGGTAATACCCCATACAAGATCCACTATGTTCCTATTTTATGTTGAACTATGATTATGAAAGTTACATAATTTGGAATATGCCAATGTATATGGAAGTTCACAAATGAAAAAAAAATGATCCATTAGCATGGATGCACCGTTAAAACTATATCAAACCAGTATTCAATATACCACATAGCATCTTCACACTATAGTAAAGGAACTCTAAGAAAAAGGATAACATATAGGATTTCACGAAAATCTTGAACAATTATCATGGTTTCCGTCCCTTCAAAAGAAAATAGTTGTCTTACCGGACCACCAAAACATTCAAAACCAGCTAACTTGAGCTCTTCCAAGATTCCATCTTCACCAACAACATAAACCTAAATAAAATAAGCAGTTCAAGTATAATCGCTAATCAGTTTATATCTGTGAAAACAAGGGCGTGAAACTAAGAAGGAAAATCTTTATTCTCAAGCATGTCCAACAAACTACGTGTAAGAGGCGTCCTGGGGGAAGGGGCTGGCGGCGGCTGTGGAGGTGGCGGCTAGGGTTGGGAGGCGGCGTGGGAGAGAGGGCGGCGCAGGGAGAGGGGAGGCGGCAGGCGCAGGGAGAAGAGAGAGGAGGAGATAGGAAGGAGCAATCGCTCGTCTATTGCTTAGTTTGATTGATTACATCCCCCCTAATATTTATAGTCCCTATAGAACTTGGACTCCAAGCAACCTACGGGAGATCCTTATAGGATTGGATTCTCTCTTCCATACTAACAAACTCCAATTCCATAACTAACCAAACTCTATCCAAACTCTAATAGACTCGATATGGTAACTTAGGTAACGACGGCGGGAGCGACGGTGCCCTCCCTCCTGGGCGCGCGGCCCCTAGGGCGCGCTAGTGGGGGCGCCTGGTGTCGGTGTTTCGAGTTACCACCGACGAGTAAATTTCTAGTATTACGCGTCTGGCTCAGATGGTGTGCTTAGAGGACACGAGGTTTATACTGGTTCGGGCATAATGTCCCTACGTCCAGTTCGTCGCTGCTGATCGTGTTACTAGCACTAAAAGTTTGCAGTAGGGGTTACAAACGGGCGAGAGAGGAAAATGATCCCAAGTCTCTGGTGGAAAGAATGAACGGGTGCCGAGAGCTCGGTCGCTGCTCAGCCGTATGTTCGTGTGTTTGTTATCTCATGGTTCGGCTTGATCGGTCCTCGATGGGTCGATCCGATGGGTTCGTGATAGTTCGATCCCCTTCATGAGGCGCCCTGCTTTCCCTTTTATAGGCCAAGGGAAAGCATGGGTTACAGCGGAGGAAGAGAGGAGAACGAGAGGGAGAAGAAGTCCTTCAGTATAGCCGGGTCCTTCTCCTTCATGCGGGTCCCGCCGACCCTGTAGATGTCAACAGGGACAGCTCCACGTCGCGGCCTTGTCCGTCACTGGCGACATGCGCAGGCGTCGTCTGCCGGTCACGGCGCTCCACCCCGTCCTAGCGGACGTCGTGGTGAACTGACGCGCCTATCAGTGTTCGTACAAGGGTTAGGCAAAACAGCACCGGTACGCCCGACGTTGTTCTTGATGTGAATCCTCAGGTATGGCCCGTCGTGGCCGCAGGTTACATCGAGGCGTGCCAGTCTCTTCTCTGGTGTTAGTTTTGACCCAGGCCCATACGCCTGGATCTGGAGTGGTTGACGGCTGTATGGGACCCCGTCGGGCGAGACGGAGCCCGCACCCGAGGGGTCAGGAGAGGCGGAGCACAAACCCAAGGGACGGGCGAGGCGGAGCCCGCGACCTTGGGGTCGGGAGAGGCGGAGCCTGAGGCCTCGGTGTCGGGCGAGGCGGAGCCCGCGGCCTCGGGGTCGGGCGAGGCGGAGCCCGCGACCTTGGTGTAGGGCGAGGCGGAGCCCGCGGCCTCGATGTCGGGCAAGGCGGAGCCCACGGCCTCGGTGTCGGGCGAGGCGGAGCCCGCCCCCAGAGGTCGGGCGAGGCGGTGCCCGCGGTCTTGGGGTCGGGCGAGGCGGAGCCCGCCCCTAGAGGTCAGGCGAGGCGGAGCCCATGGCCTCGGGGTCGGGCGAGGCGGAACCCGCGGCCTCGGGGTCGGGCGAGGCGGAGGCCGCCCCTAGAGGCTCCCCAGAGGTCGGTTGGAGCCGTAGTCGTGCTCTTGGACTGCTTGGATGAATCAATGTTGATGGTCATTAGCTCCTCCTCTTCGGGTACCCTAATATTGGTCCCCGACACCTGGCGCCCCTCCTTGGGCCCTTCTCGGCCCGTTTGCTCCAGGTTGGGGGGCCTCCATTGGGCATATGACACTGAGTATGTTAAATGGACAGATTAGGGGGGAGGGGGCAAAGTTATGTATCATGTACAGTGGAAGGAGTGCAAGGAGCCAAAAGGTCCTACCACGACTCAATCGGCTTCAATGTACCAAGAAAAATAATGTTTACCTTAATATGTTTTAATAAATCACACAAAAAAGGTCTCAGGCCTGCCTGGATATCGCAGTTTTAGGAAACTATAGTATCAACAAACTGTAGTTTCTTAATCCTAATGTGTGCAAATACGGTGGTTTAGAAGAAAAAAAGAAAGGTCCTGATTGGAGTTCTAAAACTTTTTTCAAAAACACTATGGTTTTCACAATGTTTTCGAATCTAGAAGGTTTGTTGCAGCCAACAGCTTCAAAAAACCAATGTATTTTGCAAAACCGTGATATTTGTCCAACACTACAAGATACTTTGCATCCAAAGAGGGCCTCAATGTTTAACCATGTGAATATATGCCAAAAAATCGGTTAAGCCAAAAAACAGTTTGAGAGACCAGCCACCAGAAAACAGCAAGATAAATAAAGTGAGGTATACAAGAAATAGTGGATCCGAACTATGCTACAATACTCCTGTTGTGTGAAGCAAGGCCGATTGGCTCATATAAGTGCCTTTTGGTTGGCCTTCTAGCAAAATTTGCAACCACATAGTTTCCACATGGCTGTTCCAGTCTTATTGCAAACCCTTGCTCATTAGTTCAGGGTGGACAATCTTACTGTAAATGTGTAGGCTGTTGTGTTATCAAGTTCCTCGCATGCATATGTGCTAGTTTCTTAATTTGTTCCCTCATGATGATAATTTCAGTAAGTATCATGTGCCGAAGAAATCATAAGTCATTCACATAAAACAAAAGGAAAGGACATTACAATAATTTATGATACCTTCTTTTCTGGAGAAAAATTATTTAACTTCAAGTACATGGCAGCCGCAAACGATGATGTAAAATTCTCTTCCTACAACAAAGTAACAAATGATTACAATACAAAAAAAAAATACTGGAAGAGTCTGCTCAAATCAAAAGCTACCTCAGTAACTTCAAGTCCAAGTGATCTGAATTTCTTTGAGTATTGCCTTCTTGACTTTCTAGAGTTGTTTGTTACGAAAACTAATTTCTTTCCCTGCACCAAGCCAATACAAGCATTATTACTTAATCAATAAGTTTCACAATCTGTATAAACCTTTTATAAACCACTAAGCCACCGAGTACTAGAGCAATGCCTTAAATAATGGCAACAAAAGATCACAGCTTGGTTAATGAAGTGATGTTCCTCATGCCAGAATTGACATAGAGAAAAGATATAAGCCTATTATCCTTGTTTCAGATAGGAGTTCTGTACATAGACAGGAGATATAAGCTTGTTTGTGCAATGAACAGAACCAGAATAACTTTAAAGCGATGTGCAGTAGTAGTGTCAATGATTGACATTTCATTATGGTATCTGATGCCTGGTGGGTGCACTTACTGCCTGTCTATTTCAGCTTAAATAGCTGCAACTTTGGAGAATCAGATTCTTCAAAGTTGAAAGCCACAATCTAGAATCAGCTTTTTAAAAAGCCACAACAAAATAAGCAAGACCTTAATTATGTACTTGTCTTGATCATTTGGCATTTTTTTGCTGACAGTTAAACTATTGAAACATGAATTCGCTTGTTATTAAAATGGGAGAGATCAGGCTTCCCACACAGGTGTTATTAAAAGCTATCTTATTTCTTCTTAGGCCCTCTTTTGATGCATTAGTGCCAATAGTTAGCTAACTAACTATTAGCAGGGGATGTTTGTGTCCCCATGCTAATAGGTGGTTGGATGGTTGGGGGTGCAAATGAACTATCAGCACCTATTAGCACCCCTCTACCAGCTAACGAACTAGTAATCGTTAGCAGCACTCTTAGAATTAACGCAAGCTATAATTCATATTTGTTTTCAACAAAAGCTTGATGTGATCCAAGTTTGCTAATTAATAAGAAGCACAAGGCCGTGACTCTATTTTACCGAGTTAGCCCCAAAACGAGGAAACGAATTCAATACTTAGTCATTAATAAACATTAAAAATTGTGATAAAAAAGGAGAAAATTGCTAAAATAGGACTCCCAAACATGTGTCTTTGCTAAAATAGGACTCCTAACGTTGGCTTTGCTAAAATAGGACTCGAAACGTTGTGACTTTGTTATAATGACATTTTGACAACTTTTAATCATATTCCAAAACTCAAATACATGTATTTTCTCATATTGACTGTATTGCCCTTCTGATATTCTAATCTATATTGCCCCCTTCCGTATGAGATCTTTTAATCTGATATGCTCGGTAATATAGTTCTCGTGCCAAAGAGCAGGCTTCGGCTGTATGCTCGGAAAATACAGGCTTCGGTACTATATTACGGAAGGACTCGTGCAAAGATCATGATCTCGAGCGAGCTTCGTTGCCTCCTTCCGTCAGCGCACGCGAGTCCTGGCCGACGAGATCTCTGGCGACGCCATCCCGTCGTTCCTCCTTCCTGCCGCCGACGCCACCCCATGGACTTGAGGCAACCGAAGCTCGGCACAGCGGGAGCCACGGCCGCGTGGTGCCCTAGCCAGGCGGCGTCGCTTCGGGTGCCCTAGCCACCAGCGTTGCCGGTGCTACTCGCCTCGGCGTTCCTCCTTCCGCCGCTTCCTCCTTTCTGCCGCCGCCGCCGCCATGGACTTGGATGCAACCAAGCCTGGCAGCGTGGTGCTGGCCGAGCCGAGCCGCGCTGGTGCCCTAGCCGCTGGCGTCGCCTGATGCTCGCCTGCCTCGGCGCCGCCGGTGCTCTGCAAAGGCGCTTTGATGGCTGCCCTTTTAAGCCCGGTGCATTGGCATGCGCACTGATGGCCAAGCTTCCAAGGCTGGGGCAACCGATAGCCTCTGACCAAAGAAGTGGAGGCCTCCATCGATGCTCTAGCCCTAGCAAGGTCACTTCGCCACTCGCCTCCTCATCCGCAAGAGAGTGCAACATTCCTGTTCTTCAAGTGCAAAGGTATATATTGCATCCACTAGATCTTTTATTTTTTTTCAGTACAAGTACAGTACAGAAATAAAACTAGGTTTGGCTTGTTTATAGGTCCGAAGTGAATGATGTAGAAACTATAGGAAAAGTTGATTGAGCAACATTACAAATTGTGGAAACACAGGATGATGAAGGTCGAATTGAAGTTATGAGCGAGACCCGATGTGTGAGTTTTAGGCTTGATGAAGAGGGCACAACAAATGAGTCAACAAATGTACCTACACAAGGCTTTGGTTGCCGAATGGATGAACAAGTGAATGATAGTGCGCTTGGGCAAGATATTGATGGTGCTGCCATCCCTACTAGTGATGCCGTACCCGGTGAGATGGTCATTACGTATGATAAGAAGAACCCATCAATGGAGGTAGGGACAATGTACCCAACAATGGAGGAGTTCAAGCTGGCAGTTCGGCAATTTGCCATCAACAAGGAGTTCCATTTACGAGTAGAGAAGTCAACTAAGACGGTATATAGGGCTTATTGCAATTCCGGTGATGAAGATCGCCCTTGCATTTGGAGGATAAATGGCAGAAAACTGCAAGGCAGCGCTACAACGGAGGTATACAGGGCTTATTTCATTAATTCTACATTGCCTGTGTTTAATTGCCCGGATGAAAGTGTTTTACTGCCATATTTCATGTGTCTGTACTACAACGGAGGTATACAGCCCATATATGCTTGCATGCCTACTTATATATATATATATATATATATATATATATATATATATATATATATATATATATATATATATATATATATATATATATATATATATATATATATATATATATATATATATATATGCCTCTGTGTCTACTTTGCTAGCTGCTGTGAACGTGCATTATTTCATGTGTGTCTATATATGACTGAGAAGTCCTTGAATTTTTTTCTGTGCTATATATGATGCAACACTACATATGTGTGTCTATATATGATGCAACAGTACACAATATATCTCATTGATTTATTTTTTTCTTGCAGGTTACCGTCTTAGTCAATGACCATACATGTGTGTCTAGCATGAGGATGGCAACTACAACTCCAAATTGCAAGTGGGTAGCTCTATGGGCTGCGAGTATACTTAGAGCTGAACCAAATATTGGTGCTAGGGAATTGCAAAAGAGGTTGGAGACAGATCACAAGTGTGAAATTGCATATGACACTGTGTGGCGGGGTAAAGCAAAAGCTCTTGATGAGGTTTATGGCAAATGGTCAGAGAGTTTTCGGCTGCTATATAGGTGGAAGGCCGAGGTCGAGAAGCGGAGCCCCGGGAGTGTAGTTGAGATTGATGTTCTTGAGGTGGATGGTGAGGTATATTTCCACCGTTTTTTCTGTGCTCTTAAACCATGTATTGATGGTTTCTTGGAAGGTTGTAGGCCTCATTTGAGCATAGATGCTACAGCCCTTAATGGAAGGTGGAATGGTCACTTGGCCGCAGCTGTAGCAGTTGATGGTCACAATTGGATGTATCCAGTCGCTTATGGCTTCATTGCTTCTGAGACAACAGTCAACTGGACTTGGTTCATGGAACAGTTGAAGAAGGCTATAGGTGATCCTCCACTACTTGCTATATGTTCTGATGCTTGCAAAGGCTTAGAGAATGCAGTGAAGAATGTATTCCCAAATGCAGAGCAAAGGGAATGCTTTTATCATCTAGCCAGAAACTTCAAAAAGAGATTTAGAGGGTTTATCCAGATATATCCTGCTGCAAGAGCTTACAGAGAGGAGATTTTCTATGACAATTTAGCAAAAATGCTAAGTGAATCATCAGAAGCAGTGCAATGGTTACAGGCCAATCACAAGCTTCTATGGTATAGGTGTGGTTTCAATCCAGACATTAAGTGTGACTACATAACTAGTAACATTGCTGAGTCATTTAATAACTGGATTAGATCTCATAAGGACCTACCTGTTGCTGACCTTGCTGATAAGATCAGAGAAATGATCATGGTACTGTGGCACAAGAGAAGAATTATTGCATACAGGCTACCTGAGGGCAGGATTCTCCCAGCTATTATGGTTCAGCTAAGAGCAAATACTAGAGGTTTGGGACACTTGAAAATTGTGAAATGTTCTAATTGGAGTGCAGAGGTGTGGGACCATAGCAACAAGCGTTTACGTGTGAGACACATTGTCAAGTTAGAGCAAAGGACTTGTACTTGTCAAGAATGGCAACACACCGGGTAAGCCATGTCAAGATGTATTGGCCTATGTAACCCGCCAAAGGGAATTGACCTAGAAACAGTTCAGGCATGACTACTACTCGGTGAATAGGTTTAGGGCGGCTTATGGAAGAGAGATTGAACCGATGACAGATAAAACACAATGGCCAGAAGTCGACCTACCTTTTTTAGTTGGTGCACCTCTAGCTAAATTACCTCCTGGAAGATTGAGGAAACTAAGAATCAAGGGATGGATGGAAGGTGGACACAAGAAGAAAGGTTCCAAAGATGGAAAATTTACCAATGAGATGGAGGGTGAGAAGGGATGTGACAATGATACTGCTCCAACAAATGCAAAGGGAAAGAAGATGATCAGAGGACCTATGACTTGCAAAAGATGCGGAGAAAAAGGTCATAGGCAAGCTAGTTCCAAGTGCCCGCTCAATGGGACTGTAAAAAAGAGGTAAATAGTCAGTACATTCCACAACTTTGTTTAGTCTGTGCATATATGCATGCATGCAGAACTCTGAACTTTACTTTGCTTGCATTATTGCCTCTGTAGCATGTGAGAAGTCGTTGATTTTTTTTTCTGATTAACTTGGATTGCTCAAGTTTGTGATTGTTATCTTCGATTGTCTAGAAAGCGTAGGCAACCAAGGAAAAATGTTACAATACAACCCAATGAACCTAGCACTCCACCTGAGGCCGACTAGAGAAGAAATTCTACGTGATAGTCCGGAAGGGTCACAAGAAGGTAAAAATTATAAATATAGAAATTGACACATTTACTGTACACTAATTTTTCCAAACATCTAATTGTCGTATTGAATTTATAAAGCGGCATGCTTGCGGCGTTATTAGGGGAGGCACATCTTCACAAGTTGACACCAATAGTCCCGTGAGGATGCCTACTACCGCAGCACACCAAAGAAGATGACACCGAAGAGGAAACTACACATTGGATGAATTACTTTAGTTGTGTGATGAGATGTAAACTGCTCATGATTTATTTCATGACTTGGATCTTGTTTTAAACTAAATTATAGTCTTATGCGATGAACTTGTAACTGCTAGAATCATGGTTTTATGATATGAACTTGTTTGTCCTAAATTCATGTGTTTTATATATTGCTTGGATCATCATTTTCCTATTTCAATCTTGTATATATATGCATATATGCATGCATGCAGTACGTACAGGCAGCGGCCAGCCATGCCCAGGCGGCAGGCAGCCAGCCCAGGCCATGGCCAGCCAAGCCATGGCCAGGCGGCCGGCCATCCAGCCCAGGCAGCGGCCAGCAGCCCACCTATACACGTGTTTAAAGGCCTAAGGGCAAAATAGTCAGCTCAAGGCAAAATACATGTATTTGAGATGACAAATGTGATTAAAAGTGTCAAAATGTCATTATAACAAAGTCACAACGTTTCGAGTCCTATTTGAGCAAAGCCAACGTTAGGAGTCCTATTTTAGCAAAGGCACATGTTTGTGAGTCCTATTTTAGCAATTTTCTCGATAAAAAAGGGATGTTCCTGAATGCATACCATTTTCCTCAGTAGCTCCATCGTCTCTGGGACCCCTTCAATGAGCTTATCTCCCTTCCAAATGACCCCAAAGACAAATTCAGAGAGGCAACTAGAATAAACGGTCAGAGCGAAACAGGGATCAAAATCTCGAGCGAAAAAAATACCCAAACAAAAATGGAGAAAGGTGAAGGATCAGATACCATCGCAGTCCAAGAGGAAGGCGTCGACGGAATCGACGAGGGATCGGGCGGCGTCGGCGGTGAGGACGGCGCAGGGAGGGTTCGGAAGCCCGTTGTCCATGCGCCCAGTGGCGGAGCTGGTGAAGAGTTTCACTCCTAGGGCCACTAGCTAAAAGCAGCACTGGACGGACAGGGAGAGGAACGGCCGGACGGGGATGTGAATCGCCTAGTCCGATTGTCTGCGGCGCTGGTGCACGCTGACTCGCGGAGGAGCTCCTGCTTTTCTCTTCTCCTCTCTGTGTCTGGACCGGTTGGGGTAAGAACTTGGCCCAGCAGACCAGCGTTACCTCAGATTGGGCCAAAAAATCACATGTAGTACTGTACAAGAACTTAATTAAGAAGTACTTTGGGCCACGTCTAGGGCCACGACGGCCCTGTGTCCCAAGACCCATATCCGCTCCAGGCCATGGAGCTTTGCTCCGTCTTCGCTGGATGCGAATATTTCACTCCCCCGCAGCCTCCGGTATGCGAAAGGCGATGACGTTTTGTCTGTTTTAGCCATTTTTTTAATCTGTCCTCTAAACAGACCTTTAAACTTTAGAGTTAAAGTCTACAAAGTTAGCTCTATACTTTAGCTCATCTCACATTAGAGCTTTAGTGCTCAAAATCAAGCTAAAGTATTCAAAAGTTTTTAGACCTCTAAAGTTTAGAGGAGTGGATCCAACAAGCCCTGGGGCGAGGTGTGGGGCGGACCTACTACGCGAGGTAGGGAGAACCCTCAGCCTCCTCCTCTCCGAGATCTCCGAGGCCTAGGATCATTTGCTATTTGGGTTGGTCACGCTATAGCGAGAAATTTCGTTATTTGACATCGTTTCATATTTTTAACACTTACTTTTTTTCAAGGGAATTCAGCTCTGTGCTCTGCGAATTCTTATTTATTCAATAATTTTTTTACCTTTTCTGACTTGATAGCGGCCCTTTATTGGGTCTAGAGAGGTCGTGCCGTGCCTCCTGAGGTGCCTGGGGAGGAGCCCAAGCTTGGCACGGTGGATCGGGCCGGGGCTGGTATGGACCCGTTGCTTACCGGGTCATGCCGTGCTCGGACCAGACCAAAATAGCAGGCTTCGTGTCGGGCCACGGGCTCTATAGTCATCTATAGCGATAACCTCAGCCTCAGACGTAAAGTACACTATCCCTGCTTCTACAGGTTTGTTTGGCAATGTCAACGCAGTGACGGCACAATGTGCATCGATAGTGTCAGAGTGGCATGCACCGATGGATCGATCATCCATTCATACCATAGGCATGCATGCGCAAGTTTTCAAGCAACCGTGAGTGTGCACGACACTATGACTGTACATGATGCGCACGTCTATTTTCAGAATAATCAAACAACCATCCATCCATATATATAGGAGTATCTGTGCATGATCAGTAGTTGAGCACTGGTCAGTGGAATTGGAGCAGGGCAATGCAATCTCTCATGCCATCAACCTGCTCTGCTGCCAATCAACCCAATAATCAATCAGTCGGCCTGCTGCAGTGACACCAGCCGCGGCGCTAGCGTCGTCGTAGTGGTCCCGGCCGCGACCTGCTGGCGGCGCTTGCCCCCTGAGCGGCCGCGGACGCGGGGGCGGACGACCTTGGACTCGCCCCACTCCCAGAACATCTGCCGCTCCGCCGCGTCCACGTCGCACTCGGGGAACGACGCCGGGTACCGGTTGGTGTCGTAGCACACCGTGTAGAGCATCTGGCGCCGGCGCCACCGCCGCATGTCCGCCCGCTTCCGCGGCGTCATGATGGCGTAGTCGGCCGTCATGAGCTCGGCGTCCCGGTCGCAGTCAGCGGCCCCCAGCTTCAGCCGCAGCATCGCCACGCGGTCACCTCCGACCTGTCCCTGTCCATTGCCGACGGCGGTGTCCGCGGCGGGGCAGCCGCGGATCACCAGTCCCGAGAACTCGGCCATGAAGGGGCCCCGGCGGTAGTTCACCTTGTACCGACCGTTGTCGGTGGCCCAGGTGGATCCGTCCCAGATGGTGGCGTACACGGCCATGGGCTTGGACGGGTAGTCCCCGGCCATGGCGGCCGAGCGGGGCACCTCGCGGATGGCCACGCCGTCCACGTAGAAGATGACGGCTCGGGAGGACCAGAGGATGGAGAAGCGGTGCGCCGCCGCCGTCGGGTCGAAGGGCATCAGGTACCGCTCCTCGCGGCCGCGGTCCGTGCTGCCGTTGCCGTACACGTTGGTCTGGAGACGCCACTCGTGGCGCCGCCGGTTGCCCAGGAACTCGAAGTCCAGCTCGTCGTGCGTCTTGTCGAACACGTCGCCGTTGGACAGCTGCATCGCATTGCATTGCATGCGTATATGCTTATAGTTAGTATGATATGACAAATGCAGAGATTAATTAGCTACGAGTATGATTGATACATACAGTTTTCAGTTTGGTTAGGTGCAATTTATTACTGAAACTGAAGCTACCCATTCATTCAGTCCTCAACTCCTCATGCATGCATGCATTGCTACGGCGCATTGAGTGCAGGAGGCAGGTAGAGCAGGATATGCCATGGCGGCCAAGGGCCATGATGATGTGCAGGAGGAGGACGAGATGGAGGCAAAGGCATGTGGACGTTGCAACTAACGATGACGAAGGATATAAGGGACGAAAATTACCCTTTCTATTTAATTTTTATTTTAAGAAAACTATAATGAAGAATGATGAAAAGGAAAACGAGCAATGAGTGCCCAGCATGCATATGTTTTTGTTTCACACATGACACCTGCATGCACTTGGTCTCCGATGCAATGCAGGAAATCGGCGAGCACGTTTGGCTGTGGCTTGTCGTAAACGATCATAAATTTTCAGCCGGAACATTATTTTTCTCTCATACAAATCAGCCAGCCGTACTTCTTCACGAACCAGCAACGATACGAACCAGCCAACCGAACGGTCCGAAGAAATTTAGTGCAATGAAATCGGTGATGATGGGATGCGTAAAAGGAGGAATAACTGATTGACCGATGAATTAATATAACACTGCAATTTTAATTTTGCATGCAAAAGAAGAAGAAGAAAATACAGTGCTAGTAAAAAAAAACTCTGGATGGACGACTAACGTACATAGAAGGCGACGACGACTCCGGCGGTGTGGTCCATGGGCAGGGTGACGTCGGCGCTGAAGAAGCCATGGTGGTAGTAGTGCTTGGAGATGAACCCGGAGCCGGAGTAGCGGTTCAGCGTCAGCCGGACGCCGCGACCGTCGGCGGACCGCTCCATGTTCGCCTCCCCGAACAGCGGCGAGTACCCCTGGTCGAACCCCACGCTGCCCACGCCGACGGGGTCGTCCTCCAGCGCCGCCGCTGTCGTCGCCATGTCCATGATCATCATCGCCGCCGCGACGACGACGACGCGAACCAGATGCCGCTGCCGCTGCCAGCAGCTAGACGCCATGGTGGACACCGGAGGACGGACAAGCAGAAAAGAATTGGTGGAGCAGGAGCCAGGCAATCGATCGATTGGACTAGCTAGCTAGCTACTCGTAGCTATTATAGTCGATGGCGAGGTGCAAAGGTCAAGGTGATCTGATTGCTTGGTGTAGCCACAAGATCGAGAAGCCCACAACCGCACCCGCACCCGCACCCGCACCGCAGTGCACGCGTCTCTCTCTGACCTGACGAGCAGGGTTTTTGAAGGAAGGAAAGTCGAGGAGGGCAGGGCAGTCGTATCCAATGGGCTCAAAGGAAGGGTGAAAGGGATTGGTGGAGAAAGGGGCATTATTTGTGGATTGGTAGAAGGGGAATAATATATATGCACACAGAGAGGGGAAGATAATCCATGTATTCCAACCATGGAACGAAGCAAATAAATTAAATCGGGTAGGTTATCAGCTGATTGATTGACTGACTCACATAATATATACATTATATATCATGTGTATATATAATTGTGTGTGTGTGTATATATCATGCATACTATATAACTATAGATGTATAGATACACCATCCAACGTCTTTATAGCAGGGAGAAGGAGAGAATATATCATTCGGGCCCGTTTGGCACGGCTTTGGCTCGTGAAAAAACAGCTCTGGCTCTGGCTCATATGGAAAAACAGTTTTTCTGGCTCTGGCTTATTTGTACGAAAACGTTTGGCAAAACGGCTTCACCTAGTTATAAAGAAGATGTCAAATGTCCAAAATACCCTTATATTTTTTCTCTATTTTCTTTTTTCTTTTTTCTCTTCTTTTTTCTCTTCTTTTTTTCCTTTTCTTTCTTTTTTTCTTTTTCTTTTCTTCTCCCCTTCTTTTCTTCTCCTTATCTGAACGGCCACACTCCCTCCCTCCTCTCTCTCTCTCTCTCTCTCTCTCTCTCTCTCTCTCTCTCGAGCGTGGCAGAGGTCAAGTGGGGTCGAGCTCGAGGCCAGCCGGTGGGGCGGGCGAGGAGGGGAGCCGAGCCGAAAGGGGAGGCGGGAGCTGGAGCTCGGGCAGAGGCAGGGAGGAGCCAGTGGGGTGGTGGAGCTCGAGGAGGTCATAGCGATCTGAGGAGATCGAAGCACAAGAGGAGCTCGAGGCCAGCCACTGGCGTCGGGGAGGAGAGCAAGCCGGGGACAAGGATGGAAAATGTGGAGGAGGAGTCGGAATAAGCCACTTTTTTTTTTTTTTTTTTTTTGCATGGCGGGCGGAGGAACTGTCTCACCATATTTTGTGGGGCTTTTGCTGGCTCTCGGTCATAAGCTGATTTGGGCTCGAGCGTTTGGCACGGCTTCATCAAAAGCCGCTCTAGAAGCTGCTCGATGAGCCGTGCCAAAGGGCCCCTTCGAAGGATGCTAGGCTTCGGCTGGCTGGTTATCAGTAGTGGACAAGTGGCCCCACCCGGCCCGTGGCGCCGACCGGCCGATGCAGAGCTTGAGGAGCAGCTATGGAAAAAGATGCCTACATGCATATAAATAAAAATAAACAGGCAGGTCAACAACTATCGCAACAAAACACATCGATCAACAGATTATTCCTTCCTGCTGTACTGTACTAGTTAGCGAGCTTTAACTAATTTCTGCCAGTAGCATTATTCTGCTTGTTTCATTAATTAATTCTGACGGAGAGAATATATTGGCGCTTAAAAGACCTGCAAAAACCGAGCTTACATGATGGGGGTGTACTAGCACCGAATCCGATTGTTCGATCAGAAAAAACAGGCAGTTCGACTTAAACATAAACAGTAATTTTATGAGTTGGCTGGCCGGCCAGCCAGCCGAACACTCCATACAGAGGGGGCGAAATTAAAAGGAACTGCATGCATGCAACGACCGAGCATATACATGATGGGGTGTACTAGCACCGAATCCGAATGAAGGCCGGCTTCAATTCATCATCGATCAGAGAACACTAGAGGCAGTAAGGTTATTTGCTCTTCTTGTGTTTGAGAACTTTTTTTTTTGTAAGAGCATGTCATTGTGACACGTGTTCATTAAGCAGAAGTCTTGGGCCGGTCCACACGGGAGGCGCATGGATTGTATGAAGGCGGTTCCAATCTCCCAACTTTCTTCCGTGTTGGTGCCTCCGCCTCCGCTCGGGACGCGGACTGCGCCGATCTCTCCGCCTCGCAGGCGAACCTCCTCGCCCGCCCCCACTGCATCGGCGGCGGCGTGGAGGAGGAGGAGGCCGAGGTGTTCAGCACGCCGCCTCTCACACAGCAGGACCCGCAGAGGCAGTGCCAAAGCCAGCGAGGTCAGGCGGGGGAGGGGGAGGACAGCATCGCCATGTGCTCCATGCCCTTCACCCAGACCCAGCCTTCCTCCTCTTCTTCCGCTTCCTCGGATAGCCGGGAGCGGAAGCCTAGGGTCTGCATGAGGAAGGTGAGAGCCGGCGCCAAGATCTGGACTCCGACTCTGCCTCCGACTCAGACTCCGAGCCCCAGCCCCGAACTCGGCCCTCTCGTCAGGATCGTGCTCATGATCCCCACGGCTCCTCTTCCAACCACCGGTCATGAGGATATCCTCGAGCTTGCTCGCAGCCGCGGCATCTTCCGAGTTGCCTATGTCATGCTGACTAAGTAGCTCCTTCTGTTCTGCCAATCAATCCATCCATCCTTTTCATATGCTAGTAGTATTGTGTGATTGGTTTTTATGCATTGTCCAGCAACTACATAGGACTATCTTTTTCGGTTAATGTTGCAAGCCATTGTATTTTGAGCATGTGGAAGTTACTATGCCTCGTTTGATTGGCACAAGAAAACTAGCTAGCCATGGGCATTTCATCATTCATTCCCTTCACTGATGCAGTGCTGTGTGTGATGTTAGCAGTAGAGTAACCTGTAATATTAGTGTTTTGTGTTTTGGAATTCAGATGATACATACATTTGTCTCTGGTCCATCCACTTGCCCCCAAACCCAGAAGTCTGAAAACTAGACGTAACCTGAAATAAAATATGATTTGATATGATTAATATATCTTAGAAAAATCATATCTTTTTTTACGAAATTAAATGAAGATAATTTTTATATAAAAATTATAGATCTCAACGAGATCTACAACTTTTTAATTTTGAGTTTTTTCATTTGAAGTCATTAAGATACTCAAAAAAAAATTAATGACATATTTAGACTTAAAGGTATTTTCGACTTTTCACACCTGCAGTTTAACGGCGTTAGAGCTCAAACTGATGGCAGTGGCATAGAGGACACAAAAAAGTTAGAGCAATGGCGCTGAAGACCACTGAATTTTTCCAGAGGCTCACAGGGCATTGCGATTTTTTTTAATAGCACACCAAAAATTCCCCCTAGAATGAAACCAACAATAGTACTTGCATCACTGCTCGTTATTCAGGCAAGGAAAACACCAGACTACTGTGTTCCGTCTGACGGTACACGAGCCAGCAACCTGAACGTTTAGCACGAGAGAAACGAAACTGACGAAGCATGGAAGAAGCTGAAAGGGCAGGCAGTCCATTTGCCATTGCAAAAAAAAAAAAGGGGTGAAAAGAGCAAGTAAAATAAAAAAGGAGTACAGGGTGAGAAGCGCAAGGCATATTGATAGCTGTCCGGATTTCACAGAGGCAATCGACCAGCGGAAATACACTACTCAGAGTAATGTTTATCTGAGCTTTAGTATGTCAAGACCGAAATACTTGAGTCTGAGACTATACTACAACAGTTGCTCATCTCCCACCTTTTTTTTTACTCCATCGACGAGTCTGGCCATGTCGACAAAGCATCTGTACTCTATATTTCTCAAAAGACAAGGCTTAAACAAATCTTACTCGGCTACTCCCTCTTCCCCCTTGCGAGTGCTCTTGGTAGCCCAGCTGCTGCCACCGGTGTGGACTGCAAAAGCCATCATCGACCTTGTCAGCTTCCTTCTACTCACAACAATTTAAATTGCAATGGATGAATCATGTATGCAATGTAACCATAAGCTGATATGCAGTTACTCCCTCAAACCTTGACTGTGTATGCATAACGGCTTCAACGATGAACATGATAAGCCACAAACAAAGGAAAAGAAAAAAAGATACCTTCTGGTGAAGCCTCATTATTGTAGAAACCAATATCTTATCTCCGACTAGTTGCCTCATCCGTATCACCAAGTCGCTCCTGCTCATCCTTTTCCTCTGTTTCAAAATTAAGAAGTGCACCATGGTTAGCATGCCATTAAGCATATCGCTGAACGCAGCCGGAAGCCTCAAAAGAGAGGAAAAAGGACAATTACAACCTTAAATTCTTCATAGCATCTGATGACCAAGTCCATGTCTGAACGAGGCACTTTTGTGGAAATGGCAGCAAAAAGCATTGAAAAGGGCATCCATGGTGAGGAGGGAGCCCTTGGAGCATGCCCCAGCTTAGGTGCTTCTTGTTCAACACCAGAAGGTTCTTGTTCAACACCAGAAGGTGCCAAGGTTTGGAACCTATGGTCCTGATCAAACCAAACAAGGAACAGAATGACAAAGATGGAAGTAACAAGGAAATTGCCAAATCAAAACTATGCTTCAGCTAAGCTCAGCAGTTAGAATTTACATGGTTAGTTATTCAGCTATGTAGCAGCTTTCTTGAAAACGTAACTCATCACATCAGTTTCCAATTTCACTCAACACAATAATTCAGGGGAGTTGGATTAAATAAAAGAGGATCCATCATTCCAATAGTTCTCATCAACCTAAGAATATGGCTATGACCAAGAAGGATGGAACAAACTACATGTTTTGTCAAAATATAAAGCTTAGTGCGTGTATAACATCCCCACTTCTTCAGAACTCCATGAGTAATAGTACTGACAGCATTCCATTTCCTACGAGGAAATTATGCCCTTCCATGATCTAAATTTCTAACTTACATTAAAACTAGAGAATTATGCCATTTATTCACACTATATGTAGAGCACTATTATAAACAACCAATTTAACAAGTAAACGAGGTAACTACAGGATTGGGATTGCCAATAAGGAGCATTTAAATTTCGAAGACTTAGATAAATGATATCTGCCATAAGGTTAACCATTGACAACCTATTTATATGTTGGTTCGAGATTTGGCAATAAAAAAAAGGAAATGGTAGAAAGGAGATGTGATCACACATCATTTGACACCATAGTATCATGTTATAAATTACTGCATTCAGGCACTATGTGCTATGAGATGTGCATGCAACACATATTAGGCATACATGTGCTGCTCCATATAAAGGATGCTGAACTTGAGTTATAAACATCCACACAGGCTGAACCCCAACAAGCATACCTTGGTTAGATTGTCTGGAGAACCAGAACTTATGATCTCAGGTATGTTGGGCATGCTATCCTTCGAGACCAAACATTCTGCAATAGTACCAAATAAATTGCCTTGGCCAAATAACAACACAGAGGGAAAATGGTAGAGGGGGGGGGGGGTATCCAGAGTAGTACCATTGGTCACGTGAGGTACTTTGACAATAACAGCATATTCAGCATATATGTGTTTGTGCACATTAGCATCCCATACGATGTAATTCTGTGGATTTTGAAGATCATCCACCCCATTATCAAAACTTTCATTGGATGGCTGGAATTGCTTTGATCCAGGCAAAACAACCTCAACATTACCCATTATTACACGGCACAACATCATTCTGATGATGCCATCTTCTTGAAAATCAGAATATCTGGCACTGTAAATAAACTTCAAGTAAGACTACAAGGAGCATTGGTAACTCAAAGTAAGAGAAAAAGGACACCAGTAGCAAAGGTAAAGTTCTAAACTAGTAGTTGCAATGAAGAAAAATAGGAAAGGAAGAACTGAAGACCTAAAGACAACACATGAGGTGAGTATAACATAGGAAGAGCACACATAGGAAAAAAATTCCTAAAACAGACAAGATGTTTACCATGAATTTGAACAGTTTGCAGGAGCAAGACAAGTCCCAACACCAAACATGGACCCCTTCTGAGGCTTTGCAGTTTCCAGAGCACCTCGCATCGTCATCTGCTCCATGGTATGTCTTGAGCAAGGAAGCCAAGCATAGCACACATTTGCATTTCCCCGACGACTCCTGGTCTCTTCGACCTCCTTCTGGAAGAGACCACAACGAACTTGCCATCGCTGATCTAGCAGTGGTGTTCTATAGATACCAATAATATCTTTCTCGCTAAAAGGCTGACCTAATCCTTTGAGCAACAAATTCTGCACAGCTGAATCCACACGTGGACCATTGTTTGGCTTGCCAGTAGCTTGTATGGTTCCACTAAAATATTCATTCAAATGGAGTGAAGGACCTGAATTATTTTCACCAACAGCTTCATACAGCCTGTTATGTGCTTTCAGGTTGTCCTCTACAATATTATTGATCCTCTTACTATGAGAAACTACTTCACCAACAGATACCGAACTTGAGCTTTCAGCTACACTTGACATTCCATCACACTCATCAGCTTCACCTTTCTCATGCTGAGATGGTTTAGATGTGTACAGTCCAGCAGATAAATCTGGAAAGAAGTGTTTGCCATGATCATCAACCCATGCCAGTGGTTTGTCTATGGTCATCTCATAATCTATGCAAATCATGTGAATGAAGTCCAACAGGATGTGCTTGTTCTGGAACACAGCAGTAGTAATTGGCCTCTTCAACTGGAAGTCCTGTTGTGCTAGATTGACAACATCCTCTGGAAAATCACTCCAGTCACCATGTTGGTAGAAAAGCACACGCACAGGCAGCCCACTTGTCTTAAAGTTCCGATATGACTCCAATATAGCTCCACTCCCACAGGAAATTAATTTAGACTTCTTACATTTAGCTCTGTCATCAAATGTCACAGGGTGTTTTTTTGGATCATGCTGAGAGAACACCATTGCATCATTCCCTTCAGGGTGCTCCGTAGCAGTCTCATGCTTTCGCTTGCGAACGGTAGCTTTCAGAACATGTTCACCCAATGCCAGAACGTTCCTCTGTTCCATTTCTTTTATAGAGACTCAACCCAAACCAGGTAACTTTCTTTACAGATTTACACTACTAAGTCAAGCGGTTAGCTTAATCTAGCTAATGATACCTAGATTCTGTTAGCATAAAGTTAATTCCAAAACGAGCCACGCTATCCAAAATGGTAAGTGAAATGGACCTGAGACCAAAAAGGAAAAAAGAAGGGGGAAATAAAAATGAATGAAATAGATACACGAAGAGAACAAGAGGAGGAGAGAATGAAAGTGTTGTGCATAAACATTTATTTACAATTATAGTTACAGGGCACAAAATGCATGAGTAATTAACTTTGGAACTTTCCTTGTTGACATATAGCAATTTCTTCCTAAAGTAAGTAAATACCTTATTCGCAGTGCCCATATTATTATGATATTAAAAGGTTATCGATGCTTAATTGAGTCCAGGGAGTTTTCTTGTTTGCAAACCGAATACGACTAGTAAAACAACTCTGCCAGAGTGATTCTTTACCCCACGCAGAGTAGAATTGTGTGTCCTTCACACCATCTCTCTGGATACTGCCGCTCCTGGTAGAGCTGATGGCTGGTGCAGCCACACAAGGCAGCAGAAGACAATAACAGAGAGAAGCCAAAGCCAACCCTGCTGCCGCAACAGACACTACCAGCATGTCTGTGTTGTAAAAAAAGACCCCGTCGTGTCTTTGGCTCTTCTCTGTGGCCATTTGCCTAGGACACAGAAATGACAGCGACAGTGCCACCCCCGTAACAGTTTGATGGGAGTAAAAGCACCTTGCCATGTTGACGCAAGAACCTCAAATATAGATAGATGATGACGACCCTTGAGGCCCTGATGTGCAAAGCTTGTTATGCTCATTAGGCCAGAATTGTAGCATTCAACAATAAACTTTTGAAACACTTTTCTAGAACTTGTACTGCACTAGTTTGTTAATTAACAGTTGCACGCTGATGACCAGACTGTCACTAGTACTTACAGTAAATAGAAAAGATATACTTCACTCAGTTACAGATCACTTGTCTGATTTTTTTTAATAAAAAAAGCAGTTTCAAATCAGTTGTGCACTTAACAATTATAGTGTACCGTGGGGCGCTGCCCAAAGACTGCATAATACTAGCGAGATCATGTATGATAAGTCAGCGCTGATAGCGTCATGCCTCCGATGATAAATGAACAAGCACACTAGAATCATTCATAATTCATCATTGGGGACAGGAATCGCTTTCCTATTGTGTGTCTATATGAAAAGAAATTGGTCTAGAATGTTGCTCATCCTACCATGAGGCAGCAAACGCACGATGACAGGTAAAGATAGCATATTAGAAGCACAAACTGTGGGGGTGGGAACAACAAGCAACTAGTATACAATAACACAACAGAAACGCCGCCAGGGCGACACTAACTAATACATGATACATCTAATAAGCACTAAAAGATCGCCTCTATGTCACAGAATAGCTTAATTCAATCAATCCGAATTAGCTTACTATATATCAGGAGCAACAAACTCACAGATGAAGCTAAATCGTAGCAACAGGAAACCAAATTAAGGGGAAAGGGAAGGGGAAGGAGGGAAGGAGTACCAGTGGTAGGTCATCGGACCCGTCACGCGGAAGATCGGGCAGAGATAGTCAGTCAACCTCAAGCAGCAGGTACCGGCGAAGTGGATTAGATTGCAACACAATTCTTCCTCTTGTCGTGTTTACTAATCCGGGTAAATTAAAGGGCGCAGGGCAGTAGTAGATGAGAGGGAAGTGAGAGATAGGCAATCAGATAACCGCGGCCAGCCTTTTTAAGCCGCCGCCGCTGCCGGCGTCTTCCTCCTCCCCTGCCCCGCGGCGTTCCTGTGGGTGGTGTGGGCAGTCGGCTCCTGCTTTCCCCTCCCCCTGGTTGGGTTGCGTTTCCGGTGGGCGAGGAGGAAGGGGAGAGCGAGCGAGGCGGCCCTGGGTGCGACTCCCGCGTACATGTAGCGACGGGCCGACATGGGCAGACGCCGCATCGGGCCGTCCATGGCGTCCTGCGGGCGGGATCGGACGGCCCTAGTGGGGTCGCCGGGTGCGCGAGGGCATTTTCTTATTTTTCCTTTGGTGGGGCCAGGGTCGGCCGCCCATCGGTTTGGGTTTCTTGGAGAGGGGGGCGTGGACGGTGGACTTGGCCCACCGCTTCCGCTTCCGCTTCCGGGAAGCAGGAGGAGCGTGTGACTGTGTGATGGTGGCCCACATTTTTTATATAATAAAAAATAAAAATAAATAGAATTATAGATGGATGAGCCGAACCGATCTCCCAGTAATTTCGGATATTTTACGTTGCAGCATTCACGGAATCTACTGGACTCTATATGGATTACTGCTTACTAGAATTCTAGTAAAAGTGGTCAATATCACAGGTGCTGACGTACAAGAATCCAAAAATGAAAGCGTGTATACATTTTGAACTAAATGAACGCAAACTATGGTAAATATTTTTTTTGGTTAAAACTATGGTAATTATTGATGTAGTTACTGGAATACATTCTGTTTGGTTACTTCTCCTAACATTCTGTTTGCTAAACTATAGTAACTCTAAACTTTGGCAAACTCCGCACTCAAATTGTAGTAATTCCAAATCAGGACTAACGTAACCTTCTATTTGGTTTATTTCTCGTAAAAAATTTCACACGGTAAATTCATCTTGTTGTTATATAGTAACTTGCATCAAAACTGTAATAACCCTGGTCGCACTCTATTTTGATTGTTCATATCAAATTATATTGTAAATTTGCCTTACGATCATAGTAACTTGCTCCTAGATATAACTCGTACCCTAACTACCTAGCTACTACTCATGATGGATGTCTGCTTATTATTTGCGTCCGTGTGAGTCCAGTTTTATATTTGTGCGCATACATGACGTGAGAGTCCGGGTTTGCCTCCGGCAGGCGTGAGTCCAGTTTGGATTCGGGTTTGGTTTGCGTGTGTGCATAAGTTTAGGCTTACGTCCAGAATTTTTTGTGTGCGGTATCCACTTGTCCGCTTTTACCTCTCGTCCTATTTTCAATCGAATCGAGATGCAGTAGAACCAAATCGAGACCAAATTAAAGACGCCTGTTGCTAAACTAAAGACGAATCGAGATGCAATAGGACCAAATCGAACCAACTTGCTGGCAGGAACTCGGCTTCTCATGCCTCGTGCCGGACAAATCTCATTGAAGACGCCCGTTGCTTCCAAAATGCTGCCGAGCTCAACTTCACCTCACCTCGCAAAATCATAGCGTACCGACCATGGAATTCCCTAATATGGGCAGCGTGCAGTGCACCTCTGCCCCGGTAGCTCAGACTCGGGCAGTGATGGAACAGCAACGACGGCGCAGGTTCTCCGATGCCGGCAACACGCAGCATACCTTGGCTTTGGCAGCGCTCGAGCACAGACATGCAGTTTTGATATATATTTTTTTTTCCTCCGACGATCGTCCCCAAGCATTTAATGTTAGCTTTTCATGTTTTCTTTTAATGTTGCTTTTGATGATTTGGGACCCGATGATATTTGATCTTGCGAATCACTGCTCCCTTCGTTTCAAATTATAAGTCGTTTGACTTTTTTTTATTCATCCATTTTAATATGTATCTCGACATATTATTATATCTAGATACATAGCAAAATGGATGTACCAAAAAAGTCAAAGCGACTTATAATTTGGAACGAAAAAGGCTTATTCAGCACTACTTTTCAGTCATAGAACAGTAATTTGCTCTCACAACATTTCAGCATAAGCGAATATGGCGATTATATATTGACATTTAACTCTTATTTATAATAAACAAATATTTTTATTAGTAAGTTGTTGGTTTCAATTAGAAATAAATTATTATTATTATTATTATTATTATTATTATTATTATTTATTATTGTTGTTGTTGTTGTTGTTGTTGTTGTTGTTGTTGTTGTTGTTGTTGTTGTTGTTGAATCGGTAATAATGAAACTGTCATGAATCTAATAAAAATAAATATTTCTTTAAGCTATCTTCACATGCCAGTGCAAATATCTAAGCTGCTTGCATACGACTAACCCTTGTCCATTTTAATAAGATATTAAAATTACATATTTTTATGAATCCTCAAAAGAAGCTACAAAACTTAGATATCCAACTCTACCAAAAAAAAAAAGATCAAGCCCGTTTGTAAGCCTGTTTCCATAAATCAGTCCGTTTGTTTGTGATTGCCACAACAATCACTAACAATATCAGAAGTAACACCTATACAAATTAAGTTGTCACGGCCGTTAAAGCTTTGCAGTAAGCTAAAGTGAACGGATCGAATGTATGCTCTTTTTTCCTTCCGTTGCAACGCACGGACATATTTGCTAGTGATAATAAAAACAGACGTGAAAAATAGTTTCTTGGAACCGAGTCCTTTTTTTTAAGTATCTTTTGCCTTTTTCTTCTAGCCCGTACAGGTATAGTAGATGGGCCGGCCCAGAACGTCCGCCCGCCTCCGCCTCCGCCGAACAGGCAAAAGTTATCGACCCATACAAATTAAAGCCCACATTCAACCTTTGCCTTCTCTTCCGAGGTTTCAGCCTAGCCTTTGGATCCATATATCCACCGCCGGCGGTTCGTCTCGCCGCCGCCATGACGATCGACGACGTGCCACGCCAACCAACTCCAAACCAGGGCAACTCCCTCCGTCGTCTCGCCCGTTGCAAACGGATCGGCCGGCTGGATCGAGGCGGCCGTCGTCGCCTCGCCGCCACCACCCACCGATACCCCGGCCGGCCGACAGGCCACCAGCAGGCTGCGGCGGCCACGTCGCCACATACGCTCCTCGCTCATCACCCGCTCTCGTAGTCGTAGTCTCATGCATGCATGATTGCATTGCTTGCCATTCGCCAACATTGGATAAATGTGCCAATAATTCCGATCGGAATAATTTATGTGTACAGTCTCTTTTCATTAAATTCAATCCAGCCAAACTGCCAGTGCCAAATTGCCAATCATCACTCCGCAGTGGGCTATACAACAAAAACACAA